ACTGCCTTATAGACTTTCAATTAGTTTTCCGGGGGATATAGGTCGACGTGTGAGACCAACTCATTCAATAATGAATTTGTGAATAACTTGATAACCTAACATTTGACACATTCTATTTCCGTACGAAGTTATTTATGAAAGTAGGACCCATTATTTCGTCTGCTACTTTTCTTCGTGTTCCGTCAAAGGTAACGTGTTTGGGAAAATGGAATTGAGGAAAAAATTTTTTGCTATGATTCATCTGTTTGTTTTTCTGAATTCAAATCTATCTATACTAATATGAATTTGAAAATTCGTGAGAATGGATGTATGTATGTATGTTTGTGGCTTTTTCACGCCTAAACGACTGAAAGGGTTCAAGAAAACTACATAAATACAGCTCATGCATTGAAATAATATATAGGCTACAATCAACAAAAGTTTTGTGTAATCTTGATAATAATATAACGATAAGTATCAGGTAACTCAGAAAAAATCTTGCTACCTGGGGGCTATCTTGGCGTACGCTGCCTATAACGTTGGAGTTATATAAAGATGATATAGAGTAGGTTTGTTTCATCTTGAATAGTTCTGAATTAAATACTTCAGTAGCATATATCTACCTCTAATGTGGTAGGCACTATATGCAGAATACTGAGCCATAAATATAATTAAATTAGATACTTCTTTTACAATACACATTTCAGAATATCTGTTGAAATCTTATAAGAATTGATACAATTATCGTTTAAAGTATTTAATATAGATATACTTTGTCTTTTACTCTGTGAAAATGGACAAATCGTTTGAAAGTTATCGCGATAAAATTAACTTGACAGTAGGAGATTTGAGCCGGTTCTAAGCCTCCCCCACCACTATGACGTATTAATTGCTTTTTTGTTGTTTAGTGGAGTCAAGGCGATGTGACCTTGAAGTATCTGGTGCAGGAATCGTTCAGAATTTTTTTTTCATATGAAATTTTGTTTGTGTGCGTGACATAGTGACGTAGTTACATTTGCTTGGTGTATGTGAATGCACGGTACAGGGTTTACATCCTTCAGTTATGTTTATGAAACATGACCTTGAACATGGAATTCAACTTTGAGATTAGGGAACTAGATTGCATACATGGTAAAGTCCTTCATGTGTACTCTGTACCTATTTGTACGGAATAACCACACGTCTGCATACGACGAAGATCCATCGACTGATGAGCGGTCCTTCTTCACCAGTTTGGACGGTACTCATCGTAACAGAGAGCCTACACGTCTGCACACCGTGATGTTTCAACGACCACTGTTTGCTTGTATCGCCTTCTGTCAACACATCGAGTTGGAATTGGTGGTGGTGGTGGGGGAGCGCCTGTGTTCGACGCATCGAGTTGGCTTCGACCTTGATCGACCTTGATCTACGTCACACCATTAACGTACGTCACAAGGTAATAAGGATAAGGTGACTTTGAAGTAGTGTTTTGGGTTTGACTTTGAATGACTTTCATTCACACTTTATATTTTTACAGCTATTTCGAACAATGTTCAAAGTCGCATAACCTTGGGGGTTGACCTTGAGATTTTTAGTCTGTCTCGGTCACATTAACATTGAAATGACCTCTACATACGTCACATGATGTCGACAAGGTGACTTTGGAGAAGTGTTTTGTATTCAAATTTGAATAACCTTCACCTACGTCACACCCTTGAACCACGTCACACTGAGAGTAGTGTGACGTACCACGACCACAATCGAATCATATAAAAGACAAGTTGTGATCGTGAATGTCGTCATTCAGTACATGAGAGCGCATCGAAATTAATTCCGAGAAAATCGCAGTTGTAGCTTGAATTTCGCTTTTCTTCTGACCGGATTACGGCTAAAAATATACATTTTTCATTATATAACTTATCTATATTGAATTTTATAAGAAAAATAATTATGACAAAAGTTGTATGAAATTAAATTCTCAACAATTTTGATTCCTATAACTTTTTTTTTCATAAAATCGATATTTTTAGAGAAAGGGTGGGGGTGAAATTTCGTCATTGTATTATCACGTTTATTTTTGACTTCACGAGAAACTTTGTGATGAACAAAGTTGTATAAAATTGAATAACCTACAATTTCGACCCCATCATAGGTTCGATATTTGTATCGATTCAAATCTGAAATAAGTAAGGGGTGAAATCTTATAATGGAATTATCTCATTTATTTTCAATTTCACAAGAAAAATCACAAAGATCAAAGTTGTATGAAATGAAATGAAAGACGAAGAAATTTTTTCCATATTGTTTATTCCAAGATTACAAACTGCTTCTTCTAACCTTCCAATATCTACCAAACTAATTTGAATGTTTATCTGTCGTCATCGTCTCAGAATTGAAATTTAAGGAAATAAATGTTGATTATGTCACCATGTCGTCAACTCCCTTCTTGATCCGCTCCTGGAGATCCTTCACACAGTTGCTAATGTGGGCGACTTCCAGCCGGTACTGTTTCGTTGAATCACCCTCATTGACTCCTCATTGACTCCGACGATGTCCTGACTTCCCCTTTCAATGTTGGTTTCCACCTCTGACAGTTCAGCCAGCAAACAACTTTTCCGTTCGATTGGTTGTTCCTGTCGAACCACAAATCGTCGCTTGCGTGTGGCAATCTCTCATCGCTGTCCCGGATCACTAGTAGCTTCGTCTTCCTCTCTCGGCATATTCTGCCGAGTTCGAGCACGTCGTTGACTAAGTTGCAGCTCCTCTGCGGTGTCGGTAAGTCTATCTTGCTACCAGAGGGTGGGAAGGATGTTGCCCCCTGAACAGTTGGCACAGGCATCGGTGGCGGAGGTACTATGGATCCGGCTTTTGGTAGATTATGCGGTCCGGTTGTGGTCTCTAAAGATATCATGGTTGGGGGCATCGGTGGCTGAGGTACTATGGATCCGGCTTTTGGTAAGTTATGCGGCCCGGTTGTGGTCTCTAAAGATGTCATGTCTGAGGTACTATGGATCCAGCTTTTGGTAGGTTATGCGTCCCAGTTGTGGTCTCTGAAGATGTCATGGTGGTGGGCATCGGTGGCTGAGGTACTATGGATCCAGTTTTTGGTAGGTTATGCGGCCAGGTTGTGGTCTCTGAAGATGTCGTGGTGGTGGTTGGCTCAATGTTTAATGCAGTGGATGGCATCTGCGATGCCGTCGTATTGACCGTCTCGGACTTTGAGACGGTGGTATCCAACGTAGAAGGGGCTCGCCACAGGGTCGAGGTCATCGGCGGCTGCCGATAGGGATTCCTCTCATCCCATATTTTCATATATTTCCGCAGCTCCGACTGCTTTGATTTCACCTTCGGATATTTACCTAACCTAATTTATCAGATAAATTTTCTATAAATGACATTTTGTGATATTTGGGTTTCACCTCAGTATTTTGGGAAGAGGAACTTCTTTCTGTCATTATTTTTGTAATGAGGGCTTTAGAAAAATTATTTGTGGTAGGTAATTCTCAATCGATTTGAGATTTTTGTTATGGAAATCAGAATTGGAAATGGTAATTGTTCTAGATTTCAAATTCCTTATAATATTGATTTTACTGTGGAAGTTATGTTTTGAAAAATGATTCAAAAATCCCTCGTAGGAGATTTGAGCCGGTCCTAAGCCCCCCCCCTTCTTTGAAGTATCTGATGCATGATGGTTCATATATGGATGTGTTGTATGTGTGTGTGTGTGTGTTTTGCTCAAGAGTATTTTTGATAAACATGGTTGAACATCTAGAACAGCTGGATGTTCAAAATCAAAAATGTGTGCATATTCTTTTTCATGTTCAATCAGGGCTGTGGAGTTTTTGCTTATATTCAGTTTCTCAGAGTCTCTCATGCGTTCTGAAACTCGTGTTTTATGATACCGTCCAGTTTGACCAACAATAGCATTTATGACACCTTTCACAGTTCAATTTGTACACTACATTAGATTGCATGTCTTGGGGTGTTTTTTTTTTGTTTGTTAACTTTTATGCATATATTTTGTAGTTCTGCCATTACCAAATCTGCACAATTACCCATTATCAACTCGAAATTTTTTTTGTAAATAGTTCCATTGTAACAAAAGTGATTGGAGTCTATACATTCATGTCCCTTTGCGTTGGTGTTCTATCGAAGTTGTTGCAAGTATTTTTCATTTTATTTTTTAAATGTATCTAATATGTCTAATGTTTTTTCGAAATAGTTATATCAACACGAAGAAACTACTTTTCAGTAAGTAATAGAAACGATACTTATCGTATAAGTATTAGTGGGAGGTATGTTTATGAAACTACATTGTTACAAAGCCTTGAAGAAGAATTCAATTGAATTCGAAACGTTGGCAAGAAAACAATTGTTTCTTTGGGAAAAAATGGATCCTGTTACCCAACCAACCATTCTTCAGATATATTAGCAATGTCTATTATTATATACCATTCTAATTATTCTGTGAATTTCCAGTTTGGAGTATGTCTCTTTTCACTGATACCGGTAAATCTGAGAAGGGTAAGGTGAATATCCTGCAAGACGTGGTGTTGTTGCAGGGATCAGAGCTAACAGAGAATATCGTGGACTTCCTAACGGAATTCCATGTAGAACTCCCACTCAGCCCCCTTCCTGGAGAACCTCTGATGGTGACGACTCCAAGACCTGGATGTAGCAGAATGGAGGATGTTCGTTCAACCACTCCCTCTTCTTAATCGAGCAGCACCAACAAAGACGCGGAGAAGGGTTCGAAGAGGGCCAACAAGAGAGAGGCAGCGAGCGGTAGCGGTAATGAGTTTGCTGCCCCCCAATCGACTAAGTCGACTAAGTCCGCCGCTGAGTCGAAGCAGGTGGAGCCGAATGTGACATCAAAGCAGTCGGAGCTGCGGAAAAATATGAAAATATGGGATGAGAGGAATCCTTATCGGCAGCCGCCGATGACCTCAACCCTGTGGCGAGCTCCTTCTACGTTGGATTCCACCGTTTCAAAGTCCGAGACGGTCAATACAAAAAATCAGCCACCGACGGCATCGCAGATGCCATCCACTGCATTAAACATTGAGCCAACCACCACCACGACATCTTCAGAGACCACAACCGGGCCGCATAACCTACCAAAAGCTGGGTCCGTAGTACCTCAGCCACCGATGCCCACCACCATGACATCTTCAGAGACCACAACTGGGACGCATAACCTACCAAAAGCTGGATTCATAGTACTTCAGCCACCGATGCCCACCAGCATGACATTTTTAGAGACCACAACCGGGCCACATAACTTACCAAAAACCGGATCCATAGTACCTCAGCCACCGATGCCCACCACCATGATATCTTTAGAGACCACAACCGGACCGCATAATCTACAAAAACCCGGATCCATAGTACCTCCGCCACCGATGCCTGTGCCAACTGTTCAGGGGGCAACTTCCGTCCCATCCTCTGGTAGCAAGATGGACTTACCGACACCGCAGAGGAGCTGCAACTTAGTCAACGACGTGCTCGAACTCGGCAGAATATGCCGAGAGAGGAAGACGAAGCTACTAGTGATCCGGGACAGCGATGAGAGATTGGCAGAGATTGTCACACGCAAGCCACGATTTGTGGTTCGACAGGAACAACTAGTCGAACGGAAAAGTTGTTTGCTGGCTGAACTGTCAGAGGTGGAAACCAACATTGAAAGGGGAAGTCAGGACATCGTCGGAGTCAATGAGGAGTACCGTGTGATTCAACGAAACAGTACCGGCCGGAAGTCGCCCATATTAGCAACTGTGTGAAGGATCTCCAGAAGCGGATTGAGAAGGGAATTGACGACATGGTGACATAATCAACATTTATTTCCCTAAATTTATATCGAAGACGATGACGACAGATAAACATTCAAATTAGTTTGGTAGATATTGGAAGATTAGAAGAAGCAGTTTGTAATCTTGGAATAAACAATGTGGAAAAAAAATTCTTCGTCTTTCATTTCATTTCANAAATTGAAAATAAATGAGATAATTCCATTATAAGATTTCACCCCCTACTTATTTCAGATTTAAATCGATACAAATATCGAACCTATGAAAAAAAATTGATGGGGTCGAAATTGTAGGAAATTCAATTGTATACAACTTTATTCATCACAAAGTTTCTCGTGAAGTCAAAAATAAACGTAATAATACAATAACGAAATTTCACCACCACCCTTTCTCGAAAAATATCGATTTTATGAACAAAAATTATAGGAATCAAAATTGTTGAGAGTTTTATTTCATACAACTTTTGTCATAACTATTTTCCTTATAAAATTCAATATAGATAACTTATTTAATGAAAAATGTATATTTTTAGCCGTCATCCGGTTTCATATGCTAATGAAAGATGACACTCAGAAGAAAAGCAAAATTCAAGGTACAGCTGCGATTTTTTCGGAATTCATCTCGATGCGCTCTCATGTACTGAATGACGACGTTCACGATCGCAACTCGTCTTTTATATGATTTGATTGTGGTCGTGGTACGTCACACTACTCTCAGTGTGACGTAGTTCAAGGGTGTGACGTAGTTCAAGGGTGTGACGTAGGTGAAGGTCATTCAAGTTCGAATTCAAAACACTTCTTCAAAGTCACCTTGTCGACATCATGTGACGTATGTAGATGTCATTTCAAAGTGAAAATAACCACATGAATCAATGAAGGTTGTGAAAATATGAGAAGTGAATGAAGGTCATTCAAGGTTAAATCCAAAACACTACCTCAAAGTCACATTGACCGTATCACCTTCTGACATAGTTCAAGGGTGTGAAGTAGATAGTGCTCGTTCAACGTCGAACTCAAAAAACTTCTTCAAAGTCACCTTGTCGACATTATGTGACATATGTAGAGGATTTCAATGTTAATGTGACCGAGACAGACTAAAAATCTCAAGGTCAACCCATAAGGTTATGCGACTTTGAACATCATTCGAAACAGCTGTGAAAATATAAAGTGTGAATGAAAGTCATTCAAAGTCAAACCCAAAACACTACCTCAAAGTCGCCTCATCCTTATTACCTCATGACGTACGTTAAGGATGTGACGTAGATCAAGGTCGATCAAGGTCGAAGCCAACTCGATGCGTCGATCACAGGCGCTCCCCCACCACCACCACCACCACCAATTCCAACTCGATGTGTTGACAAAAGGCGAACAGAAGGCAAATAGTGGTCGTTGAAACTTCACGGAGTGCAGACGTGTACGATCTCTGTCAAGATGGGTACCGTCCAAACTGGTGAAGAAGGACCGCTCATCAGTCGATGGATCTTCGTGGTATTCAGACGTGTGTTTATTCTGTACAAACAGGTACAGAGTACACATGAAGGACAATATCAAGCCCTGACTTCACCATGTATGCAATCTAGTTCCCTAATCTCAAAGTTGAATTCCATGTTCAAGGTCATGAACATAAATGAAGGTTGTAAACCCTGTACCGTGCATTCCCACACAACAACCAAATGTAATTACGTCACTATATCACATACACACACAGACACACACACATCCAAAAATCTCATATGAAAAAAAAATTCTGAACGATCCCTGCACCAGACCCTCCAAGGTCACATCGTCTTGATGTTACTAAACAACAACAAAAAAAGCAATTGATACGTCATGGTGGTGGAAGGAGGCCCAGAACCGGCTGTATACCTCTACTAAAACCCTAGAAAGCAGTGTTCGGTTTTGTTGTTTATAGTTCGTAAACTATAAATATTTTTGAATTTTGAAAAACAGATCCTTGAAGAGGAGAAAATTAATTGAAAAAAAGTTTCGACACCTGAAAATACCCATTATTTATAATTTTAATTCAACGCTGAAAATAGCCGTCCGCGCGCCACTTTTATGTTGCGCGCATGGCCTCTAAGCGAGTACGTAACTTGAAAATGATTTGTTCGAGGTACTTAAAGTAAATAGAAAAATTTAAAAAATTCATGATATGATCTAAACACCATAGATAACTGATTTCCGTTGGAATTTTTCATTAAAGGTAATTTTCCAATAATCTAGAAAATTGTTAATTTCTGGAATCATAATTAACAGTTCTCTACAAAAAAACGGAACAAAATTCATTAACAACTCCATTGTTTATCAACTCAACAATTTGTTATAAACAAATTCTCCTCTTAGCTTTATTTTTTTTCTTGAAAGTTATGAAAATTACAAAAACAACCACGAGCATTAAAATACCGAAAACAATTTTTTCCATTATTTATTCAATTTTGAAAATACACTTGCTGCAAAAATTGCAGCAGCGGATCCATTTGTTGACTTTAATGCTCATATAACTTTTAAACTATTAGAGATACGACAATAAACATCCAGATCATTTTTGTAGATAATTGAATTATATTCCAGATGTTTTTTGCATATATTATTAGGTTATTTTTAATTTGTTTTTTAGGCATTTGTTTATGAAAGTTAACGATTTCCTCGAGTTTTTTCAACTTTTCAGGCTTACAGCTCAGTGAATAATGCTGATTCGGATATTGAACTTCAGAGCAATTTTGTTAAACATTAACTTATCTTACAGTTGCAGTTGGTTATTTGTTTATTTGTTCATTTTTTGGGAATTATTATATTCCCACCTAATTGCTTACTTCTATTCAACTGTATTCTAGTTAGTAATTGAAAAAATGCTTCAAACATGCAACAATTTCATTATAAAATATAAGGAGGTGAGAATAATATTGTTGAGTAGATATGAAATTTATATAACTGAAAACAGCTTATTTCTTTCAAATACAGAATTTTAATCGTAATATTACATTTTGCGTCGATAATACTCGTTATTATCATATCAAGAATAATGAAGCAGTCAATTTATTCTATTAATTTCGTATTTTCCTTTGTTTTTTAGGGGGAAAGTTTTTGAAGTATGTACTTGCAATATCTAGGTTTGCAAGTGAACGTGCTATTATTTTTCCTTTGTTACTCGAGACGTTTTCAATTCTATGCTCTTCTTTCTCTTCTGCTTCATCTTCTTCTTCCTGATCTATAGATTCTACCATTTCTTCTTCTTCTTCTAATGTCTCATCTGGCTCCGTGTTTTCTTCAGATTCGAAGTCTGAATCTGCTCTGAAGATTCCGTTAATAATTTTTTGATAAGCTGACTTATTTTTATTTTGTTGATCAGTGACCATGCCGTATTCGAAATCCTCATCTCCATCATCAGAGTCATTATTTTTATCTTCGTCCCGATAACAAAATTGCTCTGAAGTTCAATATCCGAATTCACATTATTTACTGACCTGTAAGCCTGAAAATTTGTAAAACCCCGATGAAATCGTTAATTTTCATAAACAAATGCCTGAAACAACAAATTAACAGTAACTACAAAATATATGCAAAATGACATTTGGAAGATAATTCAATTTATCTACAAAAATTACATGATTTTTTATTGTCGTATCTCTAATAGTTTAAAAGTTATACAAGCATTGAAGTCAACAAATGGATCAGCTGGTGAAACTTTTGCTGCATGTGTATTTTCAAAATTGAATAAATAATGGCAAAATTTTTTAAAATTTTCTATTTACTTTAAGTACCTCAAAAAGTTATTTTCAAGTTACGTACTCGCTTAGAAGCCATGCGCGCAATCTAAAAAGGCTCGCGGATAGCTATTTTCAGCGTTAAATTGAAATTATAAATTATGGAGATACCGTTTCGTGAGTCGGAACTTTTTTCAGTAAATTTCCTCCTATTCAAGAATCTTTTCTTCAAAATTCAAAAATATTCGTAGTTTACGAACTATAAACAACAAAACCGAACATTGCTTTTTAGGGTCTTTAATTGTTTATAACTTTTTTTTTTTCGCAATGATCTAGACAATATTCCGGATCGAATGAGCCTAACCACTTAATTCAACCAAAAGTATGTCGATTCAATACGAATCTAAACTTAAAGCCCAGACAGTTTATACCAATGGTTGTGAAATTGAAGAGACAACAAAATGATCTTGTATTCGAATGTGAAATTACTGATTCAACTCATTTTATTCCATTTGTTGTTTTTGTTTTGGCATCAGCGACGTTCGAGAAAAATATGTAGTCATAGGCAGATTCGAATTCAAGACCTGCTGGCACATTATTGCTGTGCTGTTTCACCACTTGTATTAGCTGTAATTTTTGGTGATATTTTACATCAGTTGAGTATGTTGAATGTCTCACTTCAAAGAATGGTTGAGTTTTGAATAAGTGATCGAATATATTTTTACTGGTTTTATCGCTTTTGATGAAGAGCTAAATGGAAAATGCAGCTGAATTAAAATCTCCTTCGACTTTTACATTGATTTTTGAAAATGTTTTACTTCATTCACAAAACTGTTTCTTAATTAATAAAATAAGCCTTATGCCTCTGGAATTATAAACAAAATTTTGCTGTCGTTTTTATGTTTTTGGCATTGACTACTATAGTCATCAGATTTTTCTGAGTAGGGCGTGTTACTAACTCTCTGAGCCACACCTGAGAGCATCATTGCTATTTGTAGTTCCGCGAGCCATGTTACGTAGGAGAATCAATCCACCTTCAATTAGATAAATAATAAATGGAGGGAGAATCTGAAAGCAATTATTCATTTAATAATCAATAACGAAGTTTCACTTCGTGATAATTAGCTGTTGAGAGCATGATTCGGATTATCTGTCTATATACCGGTAACCATTGAAATCATATATAACACATGTGGCCATTTCTATAGAATATAGCATGATGTCACATACAGAAATATTGTCAAACTCGATGTAGGATGCTAACGTCGAA